TGCTGTGTTCATCCAGCCCTGCACCTTGTTGTCTCGGATTCTCCAGCATCTGCAGTTCCTACTATCTCTGGAGTACTGTGAGCAGTTTTCGGTCCCCTTATTTAAGAAAGGATATTATTTCAATAGGAGCAGTTCGAAGAAGATTCAGTAGGATGGTTTCTGGTGAGAGCGACTGTCTTATGAGCAAAGGTTAAATAGGTTAGGGGTCTATTCATTGGATTTTAGAAGACAGAGGTGATTTCATTAAAACACATACAATTCTGAAGTGGCTTGTCAGGGTAAATGCTGGGAGATGTTTCCCCTCATGGAAGAGTCTAGGGCCAAGTGGCACAGTCTCACAACTAGGGGGGCCAATTTAAAACTGAGATGAGGAGGATTTTCTTCTCCAGATTGTCAAGAGTCTTTGGAACTCCTTGCCACAGATAGCTTTGGAGGCAGAGTCCTTGTGTACATTTAAGGCTGAAATAAATACTTGATCAGTAAGGGAACCAATGGTTATGGGGAAAATGTAGGATAGTGGACGTGACGAGTGTTGGATCAGCCACCATCCTATTGAATGGCAGAGCAGGCTTGACAGATCAAACAACAGTTTTGCTCAGACACTGGTGTTTCAATCAGGACCAACTGTGTGGATTCAGGAGAGATCAGCATGGTAATAATTCCTAATTCCTAAGTTGATTCCTGAGCAGGTTGCTACAGTCTTGTGTTTGGAGAATGCAAGCTAGGGACAGAATAGGGCCCCTTAAAGATCAGCAAGACCACCTACCTGTGGAACCGCAGGAGATGGGGGAGATTCTAAATGAGTATTTTGCATCAGTGTTTACTGTGGAAAAAGATATGGAAGATATAGGATGTGGGGAAATAAACAGCAACATCTTGAGAAGTGTCCATATTACAGAGGAGGTGGTGCGGGATGTCTTAAAACGCATAAAGGTGGATAAATCCCCAGGACCAGATCAGGTGTACCCTAGAACTCTGTGGGAAGTGAGGAGAAGTGATTGCTAGGTCCCTCGCTGAGATATTTGCATCACCAATAGCCACAGGTGAGGTGCCGGAAGACTGGAGGTTGGCTAACGTGGTGCTACTATTTAAGAAAGGTGGTAAGGAAAAGCCAGGGAACTATAGACCGGTGAGCCTGACATCAGTGGTGGACAAGTTGTTGGACGGGATCCTGAGGGACAGGATTTACATTTATTTGCAAAGGCAAGGACTGATTAGGAATAGTCAACATGGCTCTGTGTATGGGAAATTGTGTCTCACTAACTTGATCGAGTTTTTTTGTAAGAGTAATGAAGAGGATTGATGAGGGCAGAGTGATGGACGTGATCTATATGGACTTCAGTAAGGTGTTCAACAAGGTTCCTCGTAGTAGACTGGTTAGCAAGGCTAGATCACACGGAATGGAGAGAGGACTAGCCGTTTGGATACAGAACTGGCTCAAAGGTAGAAGACAGAGGGGTTGGTGGAGGGGTGTTTTTCAGACTGGAGGCCTGTGACCAGCGGTGTGCCACAGGAATCGGTGCTGGGTCCACTGCTTTTTGTCTTTTATATAAATGAACTGGATGGTGAACATAGGAGGTATGGTTTGCAGATGACACTAAAATTGGAGGAGCAGTGGACAGCGAAGAAGGTTACCTCAGAGTACAACGGGATCTTGAACAGATGGGCCAATGGACCAAGGAGTGGCAGATAGAGTTTAAATTAGATTAATGTGAGCTGCTGCATTTTGGAAAGAAAAATCAGAGCAGGACTTATATACTTAATGGTAAGGTCCTGGGGAGGGTTGCTGAACAAAGAGACCTTGAAATGCAGGATCAGAGTTCCTTGAAAGTGGAGTTGCAGGTAGACAGGATAGTGAAGAAGGCGTTTAGTATGCTTGCCTTTATTGGTCAGTGCACTGAGTACAGGAGCTGGGATGTCATGTAGTGGCTATCCAGACATTGGTTCGGCCGTTTTTGGAGTATTGCATGCAATTCTGGTCTTCCTCTTGTAGGAAGGATGTTGTGAAACTAGAAATGGTTCTGAAAAGATTTACAAGGATGTTGCCAGGGTTGGAGGGTTTGAGCTATTGGGAGAGACTGAATAAACTGGGGCTATTTTCCCTGGAGCATCGGAGGCTGAGGGGCGACCTTATAGAGGTTTATAAAATTATGAGGGGCATTGATAGGATAAATAGGCAAGGTCTTTTCCCTGGGGTGGGAAGTCCAAAACTAGAGGGCATAGATTTAAGATGAGAGGGAAAAGATATAAAAGGGACCTAAGCAGCAATATTTTCCATACAGAGGGTGATGCATGTATGGAATGAGCTACCAGAGGAAGTGGTGGAGGCTGGTACGATTATAACATTTAAAAGACATCAGGATGGGTACATGAATAGGAGGAGTTGAGAGGGATAGGAGCTAAATGCTGACAAATGGGACTAGATTAATACTGGATATCTGGTCAGCATGGATGAGTTGGACCGAAGGGTCTGTTTCCATGCTGTACATCTCCATGATTCGACGATTATCAAGACAAAGCACCTAAATCTCTCTTTCCCTCCTGTTTCACTCCTAACAGAAAATTTCCTGGTAGCTGTCCTCACTCACCATTTCCCTGTAAATTGCTCTTTCTGCAAATTCCCTTGATAAAAGGATAAAGATGATAAAACCTCTGCAGAGGCACTGTGAGGGCAAATTCTCAACCAGTGAGTGGAAGACTGAGAATTGGTGCATCCACAACCTGGAGTCAAAAGAAAACTGAAAATCCAGACTGGTGCCAGAACTTTGCTTCACTGTCTTCTTCCACCCCATTCCAAAAACATCCTTTTTCTTATCTTCGTGTGTCTGATTGTATATGCACATACATTATGACAGGAATACAGTTTGATTTATAAGCTAGCAACTCCTGTTTGTTTTTTGTCATTGCTTTAAGAACATTTTGATTATGATGTATTTTCCTGTTAATGGAAAACATAGTTTGCATATTCTTTTTTACCTATCTGTATAATTCATGTTTCTTGGGATTCAAATTTTCACATTTGTAGTGACTTCAGGAATACTGGGGCTTGATTTCCATTGCAATACCCCATTGAGTCATGACAACAGCAAGTGCCCCTCCAAGCCTCATGCCACCCTGACTTGGAGCTATATCACTATTCCCTTGCTGACACTGGATCAAAATTCTGGAACTCCCTCTCTAAAGGCATTGTGAGTGTACCTACACCCCAGAAATTCAAGAAGGCAGCTCACCATTATCTGCTCAAGACTTATTTGGGGATGGTTGCTAGCCAGCAATGCCTATATCCCATGAGTGAATTTGTAAAAATAAAAGGGCACATTGCCGATGTTGCTCCCTAACTCACCACCAGTCTCACATTATTGCTGGGCAGAATTTGTAGCACGCACATTGGCTGTTACCTTTCCTGTACAGGCAGTGCCCAGGTTGAAAACAGGTTCTGTTCTGGAGTCTATCTGCAAGTTGTTTTGTATGTGAGTCTAAACACAATGCAGGACAATAATAAAGCAACCAGTTATAACTACAGGAAATGTTTGTATGTCAGGTCTTTAAAATTATAGAATCATGTTTGTTAGGAAGAGCGTTTGTAAGTCAGAAACCCCTCCCCATATTACCATAATGACTGCAATTCTCTAGCCTTCTGGCATTTTGGAACACCCTAAAGTTTTATTTTCTCCCCCTAAATAACGAGTTCTCGTTTGCTCAAGCAGAATGTTTTTATATAAGTAAAGGTGTTCCTAAAAAACAAACTGACCTGGACCATGCAGAATCCACAGCGCCTCAGTCTGTGTGCTTTCTGTACCACAGGAATCATCTGCTCTTTCTCATCCCCAGCATCCCGACTTGATTGAGAAATCCGGCCCTGGGAGTAGCCAGCAAGAAGATCAAGAAATGGAAAAGTCAAACTCTTCAAAACAGAACATTCAGTCCACTTTGCACCAATTTTTAAAAATAGAATTATCACATTGAACACATAAGGAACATTAGCGAACTTTCTTCCACAGGGAGTGATTGAGACCAAAGTGATAGATGCATCTAAGGGAAAGCTAGGTAAGTACATGAGGAAGAAGAGAAGACAAGGAGGTGCTGAGATGTAATGGAGTGGTGGGCAGAAGACTTGTATGCTGACCAGTTTGTTCACATGACATGTTTCTTAGCTATAATTTCAACTTCTTGCGTAAATCTTTTTCTGGAGAAAACAATTCTCTTTAGCTGCTCTGAGGAGTAATGCAGCCTTGCTCACTCCTCACAGTTCATGTTGGACAGTGATTGATTTACCTTTAGTTCATCATCAAATGTGACATATCCTGGGTCCATGAGGGAGGTGATGAAGTACAGTAACATTGAGCAGAAAACCAGCAGGACAAAGGAAACTGGCTGGAGGAACTCACCACGCTTCTCACTCCGTCTCAGATCTGCAACCATCAAAAAGAGAGATATATAACTTTATGCAGGGAGTTTCAAGATCTCAGGAGACAAAGTGGTTAACGTATTAAGAGGAGGATGAGGCAATCACGGCTGACATGGGAAATCATGGACAGCAAAAAAGCAAAAGAAAAAGCATACAATGTGATGAAGACTACTGGAATACCAGAGGATTGGGAAGCCTTTGAAAGCCAGCAGAGGATAACTAAAAAAGCAATAAAGGGAGAGAAGATAAAATATGAGGGAAATATAAAATAAAATTGCAAGAGCTTTTTTTTTTTAGGTATCTAAAAGATAAGAGAGAAGCAAGAGTGGTCACTGGACTACTGGAAAATGAAGCTGGAGAAGTAGTAAGGGGAACAAAGAAACGGCAGAGGAACTGAATAGGTACTTTGCATCAATTTTCACAGTTGAAGACTCAAGAACCATACCAAAACCCCAAATGAGTCAGGGGGCAGAGGTGAGTGTAGTGGCTATCACTAAGGAGAAGGTGCTGGGGAAGCTGGAATATCTGAAACTGAATAAATCATCCAGACCAGATGGACTACACCCCAGGGTTCTGAAGGAGATGGTTGAAAAGATTGTAGAGGCATTGTGGTGATCTTTCAGGAATTACTGGAGTCAGGGAGGATCCCAGGATACTGGGAAATAGCTAATGTAACAGCCCTGTTTAAGAAGCAAGGGAGGCAGAAGACAGGGAACTAAAGGCCGGTTAGCCTGACCTCAGTCGCTGGTAAAATTTTAGAGACCACTATTAAGGATAAGACTGCAGAGTACTTGAAAGTGCGCGGTAAAATATGGCTGAATCAGCATGGTTTCATCAAGTGGAAATCATACTTGACAAAGCTGTTAGAATTCTTTGAGGTAATGACCAAATTAGACAAAGGAGAGCTAGTGGGTGTGAGCTATTTGGATTTCCAGAAGGCCTTTGACAAGGTGCCACCCAGGAGGCTACCAAAAAAGATAAGAGCTCATGGTGTTCATGCTTAGAATTCTTTGAGGAGGTAACACACAAGTTAGACAAAGGAGAGCCAGTGGATATGATCTGTTTAGATATGGATTTCTAGAAGACCTTTGACAAGATGCTGTGTAGGAGCCTGATAAATAAGAGCCCATGGTATTAGAGGCAAGTTACTGGAATGGATAGAGCACTGGCTGACTTGCAGAAGGCAGAGGGTGGGGATAAAGGAGCCTTTTCCAGGATAGCAGCCAGTAACTAGTGGAGTTCCGTAGGGATCCATGTTGGGACCACAACTATTCACATTATACATTGACGATCTGGAAGAAGGAAATGAGGGCATTATTGCTAAGTTTGCAGATGACACAAAGATAGATAGAGAGGCAGGTAGTGTTGAGGAACTGGGGAGGCTGCAAATGGAGTTGGATAGGCTAGTAAAGTGGGCAAAGAAGTGGCAGATGAAATATAATGTGAGGTTATGGTTGAAAGAACAGGAGCGTACACACTATTTTCTAAACGAGGAAAGGCTTTGGAAATCTGAAGCACAAAGGAGTCCTAGTTCAGGATTCTCTTAAGGTTAACATGGACATTCAGTTGACAGTTAGGAATACAAATGCAATGTTAGCATTCATTTCTAGAGGGCTAGTGTACAACAGCAAGGATGTATAAGGCTCTGCTCTGACAACAATTGGAATAATGTGAGGAGTTATGGGCCCCGTATCTAAGGAAGAATATGCTGGCCTTGGAGTGAATCCAGAGCTGGGGATGAAGGGCTTGTCATATGTGGGGTGGTTGACAACTATGGGTCTGTACTCAGATTTTAGATAGGTAAGGTTTGGATCTGATTGAAACTTAAAATATACTGACAGGCCTGGATAGAACCTATGTGGAAATGTTTCCACTAGTAGGAGATGCTATGACCCAAGTGCACAAACTCTCAGTGAAGGGATGACCCTTGAGAACTGAGATGAGGAGGAATTTCTTCAGCCAGAGAGTGGTGACTCTGTGGAACTCATTGCCACAGAGGGCTGTGGAGGCCAAGTCATTGTCTGTCTTTAAGAGAGATGGATAGGTCCTTGATTGGGAAGGAACTCAAAGGTTATGGGGAGAAGGTAGGAGGATGGAGTTGAGAAACATATCAGCCGTGATCGAATAGCGGAGCAGATTCAGTGATCTGAATGGCCTAATGCTGCTCCTATTTTTATGGTTTTTAGAACAAATGAAGTACTTTTAACGCAGTCACCATGGATGTACATACACCATATGGCCTACAGCAGTTCAAGGTGGCATCTTACTATTACCTACAAAAGGGTAATTAGGAACAGGGACACATCCTATGAGAAAAGTTTTTAAAAGCGCTATAATTTGAGCACACAAAACTACTACAAACAGCAAATGCGACAACAATCAAACCTTTTTTTTAGTGCCGTTGGCTGAGCATTCAAAACTGTCCTAAAAACTTGGAGGACAACTTCCTTGCTAGTCATTAAAATTGTGTCATTAAATCTTTTACATTTATCAGAGGTTATGAAAGCCACAAAAGAAAGTCTTTTAGTTAGAAAAACGTGACAGGAGTTTTAAATTATGAGTTTGTTTTTAATTCAGAAATTTCATACTACAACTGTTCTGCATCTTTTTCTTTTCTGTAAATTGAGGTAAATGAATAGAAATGTTTCTGGCTTAGACACATTCCAAAACTGGGAGCCAGAAATACAAGAGAACCACTAATAAATCCAACAATGATTGTAGGAGAATTTTTTTTTTACTAGAGCGGTAAGAATGTGGAACTTTTATTAAAAATTCATTTCTGGGATGTGGGCATTAGTGGTTTGCCCATCATTTATTCCCTTTCCCAAATTTCCTTAGAGAAGGTGGTAGGAAGCTACCTTCTTGAACCACTGCAATCCACCAAGGATAAGTACACCCACTGTGTTGTTGAGGATGCTTTTCCAGGATTTTCACTCAATCATGGTGAAGGAACAATGACATAGTTCCAAATCAGGATGCTGAGTGGCACAGAAGACATCTTGACTGATTGACTGATTTACTGTCACATGTACCAAAATACAGTGAAAAGTTTTGTTTACAAGTGGTACAGGCAGATCATAGAAAGCAAAGGATGTACAGATCAAAAAAGACTTAGAGGCATACAGGTTATATTGCACAGGGTGTGCACTAGATGAGATCAACATTAGCAAGATCAGTGTTATTTGAGGCTAGAGAGAACATCTTGCAGGTGTTATTATTTAATATGGTCTGAAAGAATGTCTGAGACATAATGGAATGAGGGAACAGACAATGGATATATTTGCTGAGAGTTAAAAGGGTTAGATTTAATTGTATAAATGTGGGAAGCTAGTAATCAGTGGGGTGTGAGTTTTACAATGTGGGGTTAACTGAAATAAAGCTCTCACTGAAAATGTAGACTTGGAATTGTTAAGCAGTTACCTTCTAATGTATCACATTGGTAGCAGAGAATGGTTGAGTCAAAATGTCAAGTTTTGGGATGGCTAAACCTGCTTTCTGAGAGTGAAACTTATGACCAGTGGATGAATGAAATTATCATGTGGAACTGAGTTATTTCTTTACCAAAGAGGACATAAAGTACGGTCTTTGCACTTTTGTTGCCATATGGGAACAGATAAGAAAAAGGTTTTTTATGGGCATTGGAACCTTGTGATTTGAACACAGATATGGGTTTGGACAGATTGTTAACTTTCATCAATCAAAAGATCTTTTAAAGAACTATGAATGTTGGAAATCTGAAGCAAAAACAGAAATTACAGGTTTGGTAGCATCTGTGGAGAGAGAGAAACAAGAGTTAAATGTTTTGAGTCCAGTCACTGGACTTGATATTATAAACTCGTTTCTCTTTCCACAGATGCTGCCAGACAAGATTTATTGACTGAGATAGTAAGAACTGCCGACGCTGGAGTCAGAGATAACAAGATGTAGAGCTGGATGAACACAGCAGGCCAAGCAGCATCAGAGGAGCAGGAAGGTTGATGTTTCAGTTCGGGACCCTTACTGCTTTTTGCGAGGCATTGTCACATTATAGTGGGATTGATGAGGGTACCATGGAAGCATACATCATGGAAATTAGGAGAGGTTACACACAACTGCAGAAACTTCATTTAGAAATGCTCCAATCTGTCCTGGCACAAACAGGCCATTCGGCCCAACAGCTCCGTACTGATAATCAGACTCCACAACAACCACTTTGCATCTCGCTTCATCTCCCCTTTTATCAGTAGTTTTTATTTCAGTTTTCCCTAATGGCTTATGGTTTTCGAATAATTGCTACTGGGCATTTATTGTGTTTATTAGGCGAGCTTTCAATGAAATAAAAGTTGTTTTGTTGTTGTAGTACGTCATAGGATCTACCACTCTTTTTAAAAAGGGAGAGCATAAAATCATATAGAAAAAAAAATTAACCCTTACAAAGACTAATCACAGGCGATGCTTAAAAATGGCATAAATATTATACTCTAGGCAGTAATTGTGTTCAGTAACCATGACTACTTCCATTAAAGACTCCATTCCATACTCTGCCCTACACCCACCACCCCGCGGAGGAGATGGTACAGTCCGAGTGTCACCTCACCCGTCTCGAACAGGAAGAGCACCAACGTCACCGCCCACGTCAGCGCCGCGTGCAGGGCCCGGATCAAGGAGCCGGTCGAGAGAAGGTTCTTGAACATTCCGGGGTCTTCCCAGGACCGAGAGTCGGACTCCGAGACTAAGGAAAACGGCAGCAGGATCGGTACCCGCGAGGCTCACCGCCACGAGCGGCGCCCGCCCCCATCTCCTGGGGCGTGACAGTAACCCGCGTCTTGATTGGTCAGGAGCTAGGGGCCGGTCGGAGGTAAAACCTGGAGCGGATTGAGTGGCTCCCGGGATCCGGAGGTTGAGGCAATCATCTCTCCTCACTTCATAAGGAGAGCGTGGAGTAGGCCATTCAGCCCCTCCAGTCTGCTCCAAATGATCACAGCTTCATCTTCACTCTCTCAGCTTCTGATGAAGAAGGGTCAGTGAACTCTTCAAGTGTTTCTTGCTAAAGTTGACTTTGCCTCGTACGTGCCCTGTGCAATGTAACCTGTATGCCTCTAAGTGTTTGGGATCTGTACATTCTTTGCTTACTATGATCTACCCGCACTGCTCGTAAACAAAGCTTTTCAGTGTACATCGATACACGTGACAATAAATCAATCTCTTTCCACAGATGCTGCCGGACCTGCTGAGCTTCTCCAGCAATTTCTGTTTCTGCCTCCACGCCCACCTTCCTGCGCCTCCTTCAAAACCCTTCAACTCATCTTTCATTTAAATCTGTCCATCTCCTTTTTCAAAATTTACTCAGTGTCCACCACACTCTAGGGTAGTGAATCCCACAGATTCGTGACCTTTATTGAGAGTAAGAAGAATGGGGAATCTGTGTTGTATAGAGTGTTATTAGCAGGGAAAGGGGTCTTTTCAGCCCACCATATCCCTGCCTGTCCATCTATTCAAATCACATTTTTCAGCATTTCGCCTTGTATGCATTGGATAGAAAATGCTCATCTAAGTACTACTCAAAGGTTATGAAGGCTTTTGACTCTACCACCCTTTTCAGGTACAGTAAGTTCCAGATTCCCACCAGATCAGCCATGATACTATTGAATGGTGGAGCAGGTTGAACAGGCTGGACAGCTTATTCCTGTCCCTACTTCACATAATCACTCAGTGATTTTGAAAAAACTCCTCTCATCCCATTGCTTAAAACTGATACCCAGCCCCTCTACGTCCACCTCCTGACCTATGGGGTAAAGTTTCTCCCTACCTACACCCCTCACAGCTTTGTACCTCTCATTTAGGGTTCCCCTCAGCCTTCTTTGCTCTCCCTATCTAATCTGTCTTTGCTGAATTGCTCCATCCTCAGCAAAATCCTGATGGGTCTTTACTGTTGAGGCTGCATATGGCTCTGATCATACACATTTGGAATATTGTGAGCAATTTTTGGGCCCTGTATCTAAGGAAGGATGTGCTGGCATTGGAGGGGGTCTAGAGGAGGTTTATAGAATGGTCCCAGGGATGAACAGTGTGTGATATGAGGAGTGTTTGAGAACTCTGGGTCTGTACTCAATAGAGTTTACAAGGATGAGGGGGTATCTCATTGAAACTTACAGAACACTGGGAGTCATGGATGGAGTGGACATGGAGAAGATGTTTCCACTAGTAGGCAACAGTAGGATGTGGGGGCACAGCCTCAAAGCAAAGGGATGATTCTTTAGATCTGAGATGACGAAGAATTCCTTCTGCCAGAGGGTGGTGACTCTATGGAACTCTGTCACAGAGGGCTGTGGAGGCCAAGTCATTGAGTGTGCTTAAGGCAGAGATAGACAGGTTTTTTGAAACAAAAACAAATTGTTGGAAAAGCTCAGCAGGTCTGGCAGCATCTGTGAAGAAAACATTAGAGTTAACATTTCGGGTCTGGTGTCCCTTCCTCAGACAGGTTTTTTGTATTGGTAAGGGATCGAGGGTTAAAGAGAGAAGACAGGAGAATGGAATTGAGAAAGATGCTCAAACAATAGAGCAGACTTAATGGACCGAATGGCCTAATTCTGCTCCTGTATCTTACTGTCTTATAGTGCAGTGACCAGAACAGCACTCAATACGCTAGCTGTGGTTTAACTAGGCAATGGCCTAGTGGCATTATCACTAGACTATTAATCCAGAAACTCAGCTAATGTTCTGGGGACCAGGTTTCAAATCCCGCCGATGGTGGAATTTGAATCAATTAAAAAAACTGGAATTAAGAATCTACTGATGACCATGAAATCGTTGATGATTGTCGGAAAAACCCATCCTGGTTCACTAATGTCCCACAGGCAAGGAAACTGTTGTTCTTATCTGGTCTGGCCTAAATGTGACTCCACACCCATAGCAATGTGGTTGACTCTCAGTTGCCCTGTGAAATGGCCTAGCAAGCCAGTTCAGTTGCACCAATCGCTACAAAGTTTCAAAGAAATGAAACCGGACGGATCACCTGGCATCAACCTAGGCACCGGAAAAGACAACGGCAGAAACAGCCCTGTTGACCCTGCAAAGTCCTCCTTACGAACATCTAGGGGCTAGTGCCAAAGTTACAAGAGCTGTCTCTCAGACTTGTCAAGCAACAGCCTGACATAGTCATACAATATACACTGCAGAAACTCACTAAAGATCCTCAGACAGCACCTTCCAAACCCACGACCCCTTCCATCTAGAAGGACAAGGGCAGCAGATATATAGGAACACCACCACATTCAAGTTCCTCTCCAAGCCACTCACTATCCTGACTTGGTAATAGATCGTTGTTCCTTCATTGTTGCTGGGTCAAAATACTAGAATTCCCTCCCTAATGACATTGTGGGTTGACCCACAACAGGTGGGCTGCAGCAGTTCAAGAAGGCAGCTCACCACCACCTTCTCAAGGGCAACTAGAGATGAGCAATAAATGCTGGCCAGCTAGCATAGCCCACATCTCACAAATGAATAAATTTTTTAAAAATATGGAGCACCGTCATAATATCTTTGCTCTTGTATTCAGTGTCTTGGCTAATAAAGGTAACAGTCCTTTATGCTGCCTCAATCACCTTATTTACCTGTCCTGCTGCCATCAAGGATCTACGAACACAATGCACCAAGGTCTTTTTGATCCTATGTACTTCCTAGGTTCCAACCCTTGAATACGTACTCCCTTGTTAGTCCTCCCAAAGTGCATCACCTCTCACTTGTCAGGATTAATTCCTTTTTCCATTGTTCAGCCCATCTGACCAGCTTGTTTCTATTCATTAATGGGAAGTTTGCTTAATGGATCGATGAATTCTTCATCCAAATAGGTCATTACTTTGAAAGTAAATTTTACTACAGGGGTTTAAAAATAAATCTTATTATACAGGATAGTTTGCCATCTTATTGAAATTTGAGTATAACTGAAAAACAGTACATTTTGTTGAAGCTTTTTGTCTTGCCATCATCAGGACAATTTGCAAGGACCTCAATGTTTGTTATCTGCTGACTTGCTATCCGCAGATCCACATACTTGTGAGATTGGCCCCTTGTTTTTCCCTTCCCACGTTGTCTCATAGAATCCCTCCAGGACAGATAGAGGCCATTCGCTCCATCAACATTGTACCGACCCTCTGAAGAGCATCCCACCCTATCCCTTCGTCCAGTTTGTCTTGGTAAACCAATCATGGTCCTTCATGGTACATAGGAGTGGTGTATACATTTTTTTGTTATCCGCAGGAAGTTTGTGCCCCTGTCCCTTGCAGATAATGAGGACTTAGTACACGGGGAAAATCTTACTGAATCTTCAAATGCTGGGATGTTCTACACCCGACTCAGGAATAGGCCATGAGCCCTTCCAGCTTGCTCCACTACTCGGTAACATGGTGTCTGATCTGATGACCTCACATTCCTGCCTACTCCCAATAATCTGTCACCTCGTTGAAAGTTAGATTCTGATAGGATGTTTCCCCTCAGGGGGAATGTCCTAGTGGACATTGCTTTTTAAAATAAGGGATCTCACATTTAAGACAGGGTTGTTTGAGTCTTGGGGATTCTCTTCCCTTAATACACCATCCACACACACACATGCACACAGAACCCAGAGCAGTAGAGGCTAAGTAATAGGTTACGTTGGCGTTGAGTCTGGCATGTATTTGATTAAGGGTCATGGGGGCTGACAGGAAAGTATAAACATACACATTAGGAGGACACTATTCAATCCCTTGAGTTAGTTTATTCCATTTAGTAAAGTCATGTGGCATCAGCTCCAATTTCCTGTCTACCTCCATAATCTTTCACTGTTTTGCCATAGAAACAAGAGATTCTCTCAACAGAGAAGCACACCCGGAACATTAACTCTGTTTCCCTTCATGATGCTGCCTGACACACTGAGTATTTCTAGCACTTTTCTCTTTCTATCTGAGAATTCCATTATCCATCATACTTTGCTTCAATGTTAGATTTTTAAAATTAAGGCCAGTACTTGTTACTCATCCTTAATTGCTTGACCTTTCTGTAGTGGTCTTGTACAACTGATTGTCTTGCTAGGCCACTTCAGAGGGCTGTTGAGTGTCAACTACATTGTCACATGTATTCCAGACCAGGTAAGGATGGCAGATTTCCTTTTCTTTCAAAGGATTTTGAGCACCAGATGGATGTATATGACAATCCATGATCGTTTCATGGTTGACATCACTGAGACTAGTTTTCAATTTAATCAAAATGATAATTGGTATAATATTGTTACTTAGAATTTAACTTCTAACATTAGCTGTAAACTCATGTTTCCAGAGTACTAGCTTGGGCCTCTGAATTATTAGTCTGGTGACATTACCAATATGCCATCATCTCCGCTAATTTGGCTGTTATAAACACTTTTGCCTTATAGTAACTGGAGATCATTCAGCTCATCAAACCTGTTCCGATGACTAATTGGATCATGGCTAACCTTCACTTTAATTACACATAAAAACAAATACAGTGGATACTGTAAATCAAAACAGAAAGAAACAGGAAAAACTCAGTAGATCTGGCAGCATCCATAGAGAGAGAGAGAGAGAGTGTGTGGGGAGGAGGAGGAGGAAGTTCAGAGAAGGTTCTTTCAACTGATACCTGGGATGAATGTATCTTAATAAAGGGTTGTACGGCTCAGTCTGTATCTATCAGAGTTTAGAAGTATAAGAGATGATCTTATTGACTCTTTGAAAGGATGTTTCACTTGTGAGAGACACCAGAACTAGAGGACACAATTTAAATAAGGGGTCTTCCATTGAAGATAGAAATTAGGAGAAATATTTTCACTGTCTTTAAAATTCTCTTCTCCAGAGAGTGACAAAAGCAAAGTTGTTTGTATATTTTAAGGCTGAGGTGGACAGCTTCTTGTCCTGTCAAAGTCAGGAAAAGGAAGTCGAAGGTTATTTAGAGTATCAGATCAGCCAGGATCATATTGAATGGTGGAGCAGGCTTAAGGGGACAAATGGTCTAATCTAGCTCTCAGTTCCTATGTTTGTAAAGTGCCCCAATCATGCAGTAATAAATGGTGATAGAACAACAAATAACCAAAGGAGGCTTCTTGAATATCCCATCCCGAGCCATAGTGGGCATGTGCAAGGATGAAGTATTTGAACATATCTTGAGAACGTGGATATTGTTTGGATGAAGAAAGAGCAAGCACTGTAGGCTTTGTCTTCTACCGTGCTGTAGTTATAAAATATTAATGGAGTTGTTGACTCATTGTAATCAATCTTTTTAATGAGTCTACAACAGATCCAGATATGACGAGAGGAAAACCCCCAATAGGCTTTGGGAATCTTGAGTCCAGTTATCTGTTCCTCCTAAACTGGCTTCTCTCACTACACGTTTCAAATTACTCAAGACATGTTCTAAAGCATTGTTTTCTGAAAGAAATGTATAATATTAAACTAAGAGGATCCTGTTGGAGAAGAATTTTAAAGAGGAGCCTGACTCCCGTGTTCAGTAGCACAAATCAATCTTTCTTCGGAGCTCCTTTACCACACATGTGAGAGACCAGAGATCTGAATCTGGTTTTCACGTGGAGCCAAAATGCCCTCTCAATGACAGCTCAGATCGGAGGTCAGTGACATTCTACCTTCCCCAATAAATTACAGGATATTTGTACATACCATGTTACTCTGGTTACATGCAACATTGACATCGGTGCTTGCCAAGCCCGCTCTGACTTACACATCCAATCCTTTGAATAGATGATCAATGATGGACAAACTTCATGGTCCTTCTTAGGTCCTCCGATCATGTCATGATGTTTGCCAGATCCCCTATCACCTGTCCTTGGGCTCTGAGGATTATTGACTGCATTCCAACACCGATTATGTCCCTTCCTATACATTTGCCTGTTGCATCATATACTCGCTTATTACTGATGACTTTTGAAATTCAGTTATGCAATTCATATCCCTTGTTGATCTTAGTACAGAAGGTTAAAAAGACATTAATTTTTTTACCAATTACTACAATATTTCTCATATCAGCACTAATATAAAGGTACTTAAAGTTATGTAAAGTTAAACCTAATACTATGATTCTGTGACAAAGCTAACAATTTCAGGAACAGCTTTCCTCTTACCTGACTTGTGAAGTGGCAGTTGTTTATTCTCTTGTGGCCATAGCGACCCTGTTTCAAAATTGTTTCTGCCTCCCCTTGCTATGTTATTTGTCTCTTGGTATTCTTATGAGGTTATTCTGTTTATACCTTTTTTTCTTTGTTCTAATCTTGCTGACTGAGAAAAAAGTTTCTGCAAGTGTGTTTATTGAAATTAGTTTCTGCATCGAAGGCTAACTGCCTTCAAGAATTTAATTCCCCAATATCTAATAAATTTAAACTTCTTGTACAAATATATCTACTCTAATACGTAATTATAATTACTTACAAAGGCTCATCTTG